GTTTTTATTCCACTATTCTATTCTGTTAACAAAACCACTTTAAATAGCGATACAAACACTAACAAAATAAACCACCTGCCTCAATATAATACTTTTCATATTAATTTCAGTTATCATGCATGATTGGAAAAAGCAAACTACCACAAAGGTTATCCTACTGCCCCACCCGACAGCCAATGTCATGCGTGCCAGAGTTTTTTCAACTTTCGCTGAAATTAGTGTTTAGCAAACGTTCATCTCTGAACCCGTGGATGAACCATGTGGATATGCGTTGTGGTAATCACAACTACAACCTTCATTGAGTTGTGAACTTGATCACAAGCGTTAACACGGCTTTTCCCCCTACAAACATTTGTGTATTTTTCTTCGGTTTCATTCATAATTATTTGCGCTTCAGTGATACAGAGTTGTCAACATCGTTACACTTGGAAGGGTTTTGATTTAGTGTTTTTTTCTCTTTTTTGTTTTTGGTTGTTTTATGCTGCTGCATTATGAGATGGTCAAATGTTATTTCAAGTAACCACCCTAAACGCACCCGTCGCGGCCAATTGACAACTAAATTGCAACGAATTTTTTACGGGGTTAAAAAATTACAAAAATTATATACAAATATAGGCCAGGGTTACTAATATGCTTCCTGAAAAAATGGGTTCATAAACAAGGTTTTTTTTGTAATATTTAATTGGATGGAATTGACTCAATTTTGTTCAAAATTGTTATTAATTTTTGGTTACTAAAAAAAATAATTGGAAATAATTGTTTATAAATGCTATGGATTTTTTCGGACACTGTGATTCAGAACTAGGATTTTGCTCCCAAAAACTTATATTTTTTGCTAGAATCAAAATTTATAGATTTACTCGTTTCTTGAAAATTACTATAGAGATTATGCTTATATCTCACAACTAATTGGTGCACAGGGCAAAAGTTATAGTTCCTTTTGGCGATCTATATGAAATCACATTCAGAGTCGATTTATGTATGTCCGTTCGTCCACGTATTTTGGTATTCAAATTACAGTTCACATTTATTGTCCGATTGAGACAAAACTTCGCCCAGTGACGAAATTTGTGGTAATGGGTTTGGATTTCGCTCCATTTTACTTTTCATTATGAATAAAATGCTTAATTGCTGACCGAATTATGCAGATTTTGGCATATACCACATACAAAAAAAAAGGAGTTTGGTAAAAATCGATTCAGATATAGATATAGCTCCCATATAGGTATGTTTCATTCAATTTGATATTTAAGGCCCCAAAGCCGTAATATGCATTCCTTAGCAATGATATTTGGTATCGACGAAATTTGGTGAAAATGGTTCAGATTTAAACATGAAAGTTCCACTCTCTTCCACATTTTTGCAAATTTTCGTATTAATATTCCCCGGAATTTGTACATCTTAGGCATATAAATTTTTAGAAAATGTTGCTGATAAAAATACGAGGAGGCGGCCAAATCGATTGGAAAATGGTGAATGACCCCAACAATAAATAAAACCGGGGGATATCTGTTTATATATATATATATATATTTGAATGAGAATAAATCTTTTGTGTCTCCTACTATCGCTCGTTGCCTTGATACTGGTAGCGTAGCCCGACGTTAAGGAAGTGGCCAGAAGAAAACAGCAACATCAGCAGAAATGGTTCGAATAGTAAAGAAACGACTTGATCGAAACCCGGGTCGCTATGGCCGATAAATGGCTCGTGAGCTGAACATATCGCAATATTCTATTCGGCAAATATTGAACAAGTAAAAAAAACATTAAGTTCGGCCGGGCCAAACTTTTAATACCCTCCACCTTAGGGTAAAGGAAACATTAGAAGAAATGTGGCAAAAACCATTAAAATGCCGAATATCGGGAGGTACCGTTATATGGGGGCTCTACCAAATCGTGGACCTACACATGCAAGGTTCCGCCAACGGAGCTAGAACCCATTATGACCTACAAATACCAATTTTCAGACAAATACGTGAAAAAAATGTGGCAAAAATCATCAAATTACCGAATATCGGGAGGTACCGTTATATGGGGGCTATACCAAAACGTGGACCTATAATTACAATGACTCGCCACACGAACTGGGACCCATTATGATCTACAACGACCAAATTTTCAGTGAAATTCGTGAAAAAATGTGTCAAAAATCATCAAAATACCGAATATTGGGAGGTACCGTTATATGGGGACTATACCAAAACGTGGACCTATACATACAATGTTTCGCCACACGAACTAGGACCCATTATGACTCACAAATACCAATTTTTAGACAAATCAGTGAAAAAATGTTGCAAAAACCATCAAAATACCGTATATCGGAAGGTACCGTTATATGGGGGCTATACCAACTCATGGACCCATACATGCAATGTTTCGCTACCGGAGCTGGAACTCATTATGACCAACAAATACCAATTTTTAGACAAATCCGTTAAAAAAAAGTCGCAAAAATAATCAAAACATCGAATATCGGGAGGTACCATTATATGGGGGCTATACCAAAACGTGGACCTATACATGCAATGTTTTGCCACACGTACAGGGACCCGTTATGACCTACAAATACCAATTTTCAGACAAATCCGTTAAAAAATGTGGCATAAATCATCAAAATACCGAAAATCGGGAGGTACCGTTATATGGGGCCTATACCAGAACGTGGACCGATATATCTCATTTTCAATACCAACCATCCTAGACACAATACCAATTACTCTGCTAAACGCTCTACGTCAAATAATGTGGGCTGTATCGTGATTTCAACAGACAGACAGACAGACGGACGGACAGACAGACAGACAGACGGACATCGTTAAATCGACTTAGAATTTTATGCTGATTATGAATATATATACTTTATGGGGTCTACGACGAATATTTAAGGATGTTACAAACGGAATGACAAAGTTAATATACCCTCCTTTCCAAGGTGGAGGGTATAAAAATGAGCGCGGGGTAGAGCCATTGAAATTCCAAAAAGTGCAAGAACTTACACTGCAACAGAAAGAAAATAGTCTCAAAAGAGTTGCTTCGCTTGGCCGAAAGTGGTGAACTGCCGAATTTAGTTTTCTCTGATGAGAAAACATTCGTTGTCCAGCAGTTTGTAAACAAACAAAATGACAGTGCTTATTTGCCTTTTTGGTCAGCCGAAAATGTGTACCTTCGGTTGGCACTAGAACTCAAACGCCAGCCATGGTGACGGTGTGGGCCGCCATTACAGCCGATGGTCGCTAACCGCTCGTATTGATCGACATCAGAATAAATGCCGAGTATTATCACGAAAATATTCAGGACTCAGCACCATCGCGCTTAACACGCGCCACTCAAGAATGGTTTCAAAATAAGGTTCCTCGCTTCATTTCCAGCGCACAATGGTCTCCAAAATCTCCGGATACCAATTCGTTGGACTATTGTGTATGGAGTATTTTGGAAAGCAAGTTCAGCACTAAAAGTACCAAAGTGTCAATAACCTCAAGCAAGCGCTTCGTCGAAAATGGACCAAAATACCGCAGAGCAACATTCGGGCAGCGCGCTTTTCATTGGCCGTCTTCAGGTAAGTCAAGTTCGAAATGGGCCATATCGGTTCAAGATATAATCAGAAAATCCACATAAGGAGTTCTTTCTAAGTATTATTCGGTATATTTGTTTTTTTAGCGACATTATTTACCGGAATTGTTTCAAGTTTTATATTTGAATATGCCAAAGGTTGCCTATGCTAGTCCAAGTCTTCGTATAGACCCAAATTTTAACAGAATTTTAGTTTTGTGAACTTACTGCTTTATTACTTGTAGATTTCTAATACAACATAAATGTTTTGTTCAGTTATATATGTAAAAATTTAAAGCTCTTACTTTTCCAGTTCCAGGACCTTGATTCTTGTTTTATGAAAATACGAAATGATAAATATTTCCTTTATAAAATTTTTCATTTGACATTTCTTTTCTTTGTAAAAGTTTTCATTTCACATTTTCATAGAGCAAGAATTGAGGCCCAGGTCTCATTGCTAAGTATATTTGAGTATTATTATGCAACTTTTAGTACGAATTTCCATTAATCATTTATACACATCATTTTGTTGGTTATAGTCCTTTGTGGAAGAGGCATTGTTCAATGTTCATAGCTTAAAACATCGGATAATAATTTTGCCTTCTGGGTTTAGGAATTGAAAAATTTGATCTAAATTTCGTTGTGTGGAATCCCAAGAAAAGTTATACCAAACACCAACCAGCCAAACAGACAAACAGAGTGATTATGAAGTAAATACCCGTTTAAAATATTTAATCCTCAAACAAATTATCCATTCATTACAACCTAACCGTACTGCACCAAAATAAGTTTTCATTCCGTTGAAGACTTATTAAAAATTATGATTTTCCATTGCAGCCATTGGCGGTACTAAATTCATCAACTTTTAATAAAAATAATAATTTTTTAGATATTCCGCAATTATCTCACCCCCAACATGAGTGAAAAACTCTTGGGGAATAGCTATGGCAAATAGGAAACTAAATTCTGCACATGTCATTTAAGCGAAAATTGTTTGCTGTGCGTGGGGATGTGTTTGTTTGAAATGTAAACGTGGTCATAATTATGATTATGGCTAGTTGATGGTAATGTTGCGAAGCGACAATGCGTCATTTCTGGCGCAATGGTCAAAGCTAAAGCAATTAAATGGTGGTGCGATGTTCACTGATGTTTTCACTCAGATGTGTTTTTCATCGATTTTTATTTTCGTTGCTTTTGTTTTGTTGCCGAAGTTAATGTTTTTCTAAACAAATACAATACTGTATAACTAAAATTCTACCGGTGATGGGTTTCTACCTAATGCCCTCAACTTAAATTAACAATTTCTATAACATTTTCCATTTGATGGTCTCTGTATCGCTCGCTGGTAATATGTAGGTATGTCGTAAGTGTGCGTGTGCATGAGTGTGACATTTGTTGGGGAAAACATATTTAGATGTCAACTGCCAATCACATAAATTTCCATTTGACCGACTGCGTATAAATTCAAAATACTAAAACATTATCGTATTATTACTCGTTTGGATCTCAATTGAAACGGCCACAACGACAAACGGTGCAGGTTTGTGTTTTGGGAAATTCGTTAATCCGACAATCACAATTGAAATTTCGTTATTTTGAAAGTGTTGGGAAGAAATTAAAAAAAAAAAATAAAAATAAACAAAATGTTATCCCATAAAAATAGTGTTATATCCTTTGTTGTTATTCTCAGTTGTTGCCATCAAGTGAGTTGTGATATACGTTCTAAAAAAGAGAAAGGAAGTAATCTAAATCGTTTTTTATTTCATTTTAGTTGGTACTCTCGGCCGTCATAGATTGCCAGCGACCGCCTCAATTAGTGGTGAGTATCGTTAATTATTGTTTCTCTTCGTGAAAAGACTTAAGACACAAACCACGTCGTATTTATACTGCCCCTGTCTCATTTCATTTGAAGAGATAATTAGAGCAAACATATCGTAGAGAGAAATACAGAGTGAGATATAAAAACTGCAACAAAGTCAAACGCCATAATTTTTACATTTTTATACCCTACACCACATAGTGGTAAGGGTATTATGTCTTTGTGCATTTGTTTGTAACATAGAGAAGGAAGCGAGATAGACCCATAGTTACTTTGGAGGATCTCCATAGAATCACTTTCTGAGTTGATTTATGCATGTCAGTCCGTACGTCCGTCCGTCTGTCCATGTATTCTTGAGAACAAAATGCAGGTCGCATTTATTATCCGATTGAGATGAAATTTTGCGAAAATCATTTGTTTGACCCAAGGACGAACCCTATTGAAATTGAAGATAATCGGTCAAAATTTAGATATAGCTCCCATATATATCTTCGTCCGACTTGCCTTTTTTGTGCACCAAACGTGTAATATTAGCCCGAATAGTGGAATTGGAATTTTGGAATTTTACACATACAAACAAATTAGGCCTGGAAATAAGTATGCCAAATTTGATCGAAATCGGTTCAGATATAGCTATAGCTCCCATATATATGTTTTATCCGATTTGTTATTTTTGTCCTCCGCAGCCGTAATATACACTCTGTAACAACAATATTTGGGGAAATATATTAAATACATCTCAGAAATACATTTTCTAAATTTTATCGAGATCGGTTCAGATTTGGATATAGCTCCATATATAACTTCGACCGATTTACCTTTTATTGTGCACCAAACGTGTAATATTTGCCCAAATTGGATGAAATTTGGCATTTAAGACCGAATTGAGTCTAGAAGCTGGTATGTCAAATTTGGTGAAGATCGGTTTCGACATAGCTATAGCTTCCATATATATTGTTCATCCGATTTGTTATATTTGTTACCCACAGCCGTAATATGCACTCCGTAACAACGATATTCAGGGAAAAATATCAAATACAGCTCAGAAATATCTTTGCTAAATTTTATGGAGGTCCGTTCCGATTTGGATATAGCTCCCATATATATTTTTATCCGATTTCAAATTAATTGTGCACATAATGGGCAATACAAGTCCGAATTTAAAAGATACAAATGCTTCGGCATATTTAGTCCTTTGTACTTTAAATTATAATTATAATCATAGCGTGTATGATTGAATTCTCACACAAAAACTTTTAATTGTTACGTGGAGCTCTACTAAATTAGCAAAGTGGTGTGGGGTATCAAAAAGTCGGCCCCGCCCGGTTTTTAATTTTATTGAATGAAAGCTAAAATTATTAGAAATAGCATCAAATTTTTGGCACGAATTATGGCCTTTAAACGGCCACACTTTGGTATTTTTAGTGCCAATCTTGCTTTCCAATATACTCCAGACACAATAGTCCAACGTGCACTGGAAATGAAGCGAGGAACCTCATTTTATAACCATTCTTGGGTGGCGCGTGCTAAGTGCGATGGTGCTGAGTCCTGTTGGAATATCCAAGGTCTGCGGCCAAAATATTTGCGTGCCCAAGGCTTTAATACACCCTCCAGAGTATTTTCGCGATAATATTCGGTCGAATAATACGAGCGGAGAGCGACCATCGGCTGTTATGGCGTCCCACACCATCACCATGGCCGGCGCTTGAGTTCTGGTGACATTTTCAGCTGACCTCTTTGGCAAGTAAATTATTTTGTTTGTTTACAAATTGCTGGACAACGAATGTTTTCTCATCGGAGAAAACCAAATTCGGCAGTTCACCACTTCCGGCCAGCGAATCTTTAGTTCTTATGAGTCTATTTCCTTTCGGTTGCATTGTAAGTTCTTGCATTTTATGGAATTTCAATGGCTATACCCCGAGCTCATTTTTCAATATTTGCCGAATAGAATATTGCGATATGTTCAGCTCACGAACCATTTTTCGGCCACTGCGACCTGGGTTTCGATCAAGTCGCTTCTTTACTTTTCGGACCATTTCTGCTGATGTTACTGTTTTCTTCCGTCCACTTGCTTGACGTCGGGCTACGCACGGTAACTTTTTTTCTGGAAAATTCTCACCAAAATGCTTTTGCACGCTTGTAAACAATATAATTACCTGTCACTGGAATAATTTTAACAGCTGTTGGACGAGTGGCTTAGAAATGTCAGCAGTCTGAATTTGGTTGTTTCTTCATCTCACCCTGTATACTCTCCCTGTATCACTTCATTTAAAGAGATAATTAGAGCAAACATAACGTAGTGAGAAATACACATCTCTTTTACAATTTATTCTCATAAAAGATTTAAGAAACATACATTCATGGGATCGTGAGGGATCATCGTTCGTAGCTTAAGTCTTTTGATTTTGTTGGTAACTACACACATTCGGAGTTTTATAGCACTTTGTAACTCAAAAATAATTGCAGGAAAAGCTCAGTAGATTATATAAGAAGAGCTTACAACGGAAGATGTGGGTTTGGCCTTTCTATACCCACCACCATAGTATGGAGGGTTGAGTTGTGCCAACCTAGTTCAATCGAACGAACTAGATCCATATCTAGTTTCGTGGACTCCGATCGTTTGTATGAAAACTCTGCGTGTGAGTCATATGCAATTTATGAAATCACTTACACGTTTAGGAACTGGTGTCCTGACCCCACAAAATATACATATTCTGGATCAGCATAAAATTCTATGTCGATTTAGAGATGTCCGTTTGTCTGTCTGTACGTCTGCGGAAATCACTCTAGCTTCCGAACGGCACAATTTAACTCAGAAATGTTTTACTTTTTTATACAGCCTCATATATAATTTTTTTAAAATTTTTATAAATAAATTGGTTGGATATTTCGGCTTCTTTCGATCTCGTTTAAATTAAATTTTTTAATATATTTTAAAAAGAGGACCAAAAAGATTTTTTTATTAGTTTGGTTCGAATTTCCGAATGCCATATATACCTAAAATCCGAAAATTTCCAAAAGTGTGGATAATGGGGGATCTTGCTCCCTTCATTTAACTCGATTTTTTGATGCCGATAAACATGTCTTCTATTTTTAGCTGTATTTTCATAATCTGGATTTTTTAAGGGATTGTCCCCGAAATTATTGAGAAAAAATGCATTTTGTTGCACAGTGTAATCTACTTAGTTTTTCCTTTAATTATTTTTGGTGTTGCATACTGCTATTCCCAGTTTGGAAAAAGACTGACAGAAGTCTTCTCTTCTTATCTACTCATAACTTTGACAACTTAATATCAATTAAAATGTTTTTTGTTTCTCAATTTCAGGATCCTGCAACATGCTGCAAAGATGGCGGACGCGATGATGTAACAGAAAAATGTGCTCTGCGCATGGGTATTACAGGTCAGCCCACAGATCCGCAGCCCAGTGTTGCTACAGCCACAGTAAGTTGGAATGAATCTCCTAGCATCAGAAAAGTTTTTTTCTAAATAAATCTCACTACCGATTTCAGTGTCTTGCCCAATGCATTCTAACCGAATCGAAGTACATGAACACAGCCGATAGCATTGATCTAACAGCAATTCGCACTGATTTACAAACGAAATTCTCCAATGATTCGGAATATGCCAATGTTATGTTCGAAGCATTCCGTAAGTGTCAACCCAATACGGAGAGGAAACTGCAGGCATTCAAACAGTTGCCGATGGGTCGCAGCATTTTGCAACGAGGATGCAGTCCATTTGCGGGCATGTTGTTGGGCTGCACCTACATGGAGTACTTTAAAAATTGTCCAGCCCATCGATGGACTGAGAGTGCTGAATGTTCGCTGGCCAAGCAGTTTGTGACACAATGTTCGCTGGGTGCTTAGTTGAACATCGATTGATGGAAGGAGAAAAAGGGGGAACAAAGAGCAGAGATTGCATTTTTTTAAGATGATTTCATTCAAAAGTTTTTTTTTTATTTAAAAAATTGAAAATTAAAAAAAATGTCTCATAGAAGTTTTTATTAATATATCTACAATGTTTTCCTGGGTGGCTTTGGAAAATCTTCCGGCAAGGCTATGTCGGTGGAGAATTCACAACGATATTTTTTTAGAAACTCCAATGCTGCATATTCTAATTGATTTGTAATGCCCAGATCTTGACAATAGCTACGCATAATTTTGTGACGAGATTCACGATCGGTATTCTGGCGAAGTAATGAATATAAATTAAATTTTTTTACTGTTTGACATTAAACTAAACAATTTTGTTCAGGTTCGAGATCTGGATTTATTCTAGCTGCATCTTCAGGATTTTCATAAATGGTCATAAAAATACCCAATAACTGTCTGTGATAACTTATTATTGTGTACTGACATGAACATTGCAGAAAATCCGAAAGCTGCAATTTTTATAATTGCAAAATATCAAAATTTTGTATTGTTTATTATTTTTTTTTAATTTTATTTACAGCTTGCCTTACCATTTTCATAACTTTCTGGGCAGAGGGAGTTATTAACAGTTTATTCAAATTTTGCAATTCTTCGAAATGATCGTTCATTATAAGCTCCACCCAGGGTTCTTGAAAAAAGTCGAGAAAACTTTCAATGTCCTTGAGATACCAACGCGAGCGCAAATTATTCAGCAGTAATTCATGGCGGCCACAAAAGAATTTCAAAAAGTCATAGTCTTTGTTCTGAAATGAGAAAAACTTTGAATACCTTCCACCATTTGGAAGGAATTTTGAAATTTTCAAAAAATAAAATCCATTAAAAATTCGGTTAAAATCTTTATTATGGGGGCTATACGATATCGTGGACCTATATATTCTCTTTTAGGGGGTAAAGTACTCAGAAGGAACTCCTTGTGTGGATTTTCGGCGGGTATTGATATATAGGGGCTTTACGATATCGTGGACCTATATAGTTAATTCTCTTTCAGGGGATAAAGTACTCTGAGGGAACCCCTTGTGTGGATTTTGAGAATTTGGCTACAATTATCAAAACACCGAATATCGGAGGTACCGTTATTTGGGGGCTATATTATTTCGTGGACCGATATAGCCTATCTTCGAACTTGACCTGCCTATAAAAAAGGAGTGATCTGTGCAAATTTTAGGTCTCTATCTTAATTTGTTTTGACTCTAGCGTTATTATAACAGACTATCAGATGGACGGATGGCATGGCTAAATCGTCTTAAATTGAGTCACTCATGGAGTGTAGGATTGATGTGCCAAAGTATTTTTAGAAATTCGAACTAACTAAACATTCAAAATTGTACCATTTGGTATTATGTGAACGGATTGGAAAGTAATTTTGACAAACAAAGGTGATTTTAGAAAAATATATGTTAAGTTTTCGAATTGTACTAAATGGTACTAAATTTGGAACAGTTTGGCTTAGTGTGAACAGATAGTATTTGAAATCTGAAATTTGCTCTTGCTGTCACTGTTCATGTGTAGCCTGGACATATGGAGGTAGAAATGAGTACTATTATTATAAGAAAAGTACTAAATGGTGCTATCTTGGTACTGGGTGAAGGGATAGTGCTGAAATAATCAAATTTGCTACTAAATTTGGAAAAGGGATAATTACAGAGCCGAAATTTGATGTTAACGTCACTGTTAGTATCTGAGGTTGAGATATGAAGATTGTTTGGAAAATTTGTACTTTAATTGTACGACAGGTACTAAATGAGTTGGTATTGAAACCCTGAAATTTAGTGTGGATGTCACTCACTGTTGGTGTTTGTTGAGGAGGTGGTTTTGGAAATGGGTGCTATGAGTGTTCAAAATGTGTCATTGAGTGTTGGGATAGAGATGGAATTGGGAAAGTTGGTATCGCGGAGACTGTTAGTGTTTAGGGTGGAGAGAAGGTCATGCCTAGTAAAACTGTGCGAAAAGTACGGTTATATATTTGGGATTGGGTTTTAGGATAGAGTTGAAATTCTCAAATTTGATATACAGGCCATTGATGGCATATAGTTTTGAGATAAGGAGGTGGATTTGGGAATGCGTATTATGATTGTTCGAAATGTATTAAATGGTACAAAATTTACCGTTGAGTGAATGGATAGAGCTTGAATTCTGAAATTTGACTTTGAGGTCACTGTTGGTTTCTAGTATTTAGATATATTGATGGTCAATTTTTATACCGTCAGGCATATGCCTACAGAAGGTACATATCATTTGATCAAAATTTTGAATAATTATATCTCTCATAAAAAGTAAAAAAATATCCGACTATCTTAAAATTTCAAGCATCTTAAAAGTTCAAGCATCCAAATATGTCTATTAACACAAAATCTGGTGTGAAGATGAGATATAAAGATCTTTTCCTACTGGTACCTCCCCCACAAAGCGATCACATCACAATATTTGCCAAGTCTTTTGGAAACTCCCCCATAGGCTTAACATGGTAAATAAGAAATACGGATGCCAAGTATTTAAATAATCGAACATTGGTACATCCGTCGATGAATGACTAATACACTCAAAAGTGCTGCCAAAATTTAGTACTGTCACTTTTTACTCGATCCGAAACGGTTACATAGCAAGAGTTTAAGTTCGAATCGAATGCAACCTTCGGCTTACTAGAACTTTCGAATCGAGTTACATAGTAACCCATCTTGTTTTTATGAATATTTTTGCTGGGTAAAGAAACCTCTTTAATGACCTTCCACAGCACTATCCCTATTTCATAAAGCTAATTAAAATTTTGTGTAGTGGGCTCTACCTCGGGGCGACCTACCTTCTTTGTTACAATGACAATTTCTTCGACCATCCCATGTTCATTGAGTCGTACCCGACTAAAATCGCCATTGGAATAAGTTACCAAAGGGAATCCATATTCATTATCCAAGTGGTTGGCCAAATAACGTTTGGGTGTGGTTACTTTAAACAGATAATGATCCATGGGCAGCTGAGCTTGAAATAAGTAGGGCTTGGAAAATTTCTCTTCCTTAAGTGAAGCATCCTGTGTTTGGAGACCCATTGAGTATATTATCTGGAAGATAATTCAAAACATAATTATTCGAATGTTAATGAGTATCGATAAACAAAAACCTTTTCAGCTGCTTCCTGGGGACAAACAAAACGATACTGGTGATTGGGTTCATTGCGATGCTTGACAAAATTGCCAATTGCATAGACCCACGGGTCGGATGTTTGATAATTTTCATTTATCAGCACACTGGAGCCCTCAGTATCCAGGTCAGCTTCTTCGATAACTAAATAGAAACAAATTTTTTCTTAATAATTTATTAATTTATCAATTTAAAGAAATACCCTCCAACATATCATCGGAAATGTATTTCTCCCAAAAACTTGCAAAGAAATCGCAATCCATGGACAGTTTTTCTTCACCCAGAAAACTTTGAAATACCACCGTTTTTATAATTTTCGAATCTTTGCGATATTCGAATTCCTCTAAATTCATTCGTTCGTAAATTTGTATCCCCAAATCTTCAACCATTTCGCGAAGAATTGTCTCTATACGAACATCAATACTGGAATCATTTAACATCAGACCCATTTGTAAATTGGCCACCTCATGTGGCATTACAAGAGATATTGATTTCGACTCTACACCATGTTGTATTAAAAAGTTTATAAATTCAAAGGCCCTGATGTGAAGACCATAGACCACAATGGTGCAACGATGAGTAATGTTTTGTTGGAAAAATCCCAGCTGATGATAAAATAAGAGCTTGTCGAAACGACTATTGATTTCTATATAATTTGCTGGCAACGGATGGGGATCAAACATTCCCCTGGGTACCCCATATTCCGTGTGACACATAAGCAGCAAAGTTTCATAATAGATTTCACATTCCGTTTCCAATTTAACAAGGTGATTATCGCTGAAACAAGTACCAGATTATTTACAACATTTCCCGATGTAATTCAAAGCATTTTATTTGTAATTCGAGAATTCTATTACAAATTCTGAACATTTCAAATGTAATACGGGAAATCCCTTTGTGGTTAAAATCTTCTCAATTGTAATTTCAAGTTCGAAAATCGAATAATTTTATTTGTAGTTTTAGAGCTTCGTTTGTAACTATTGTAATCCATATTCAAGTAAAAAAAATAGTAAGTTCGGCACAATTTTGAACGGATTTGGAAAATTTCAAAAAAATATATACATATAGTTTTGTTAAAATTTAAAAAATACCGAATATAGCCATTATATTGGGGTCTATACGAAGACGTGGACCTGCATAAGCAACTTTTGTGAAACGCCATTACAATATTAAATACAAAACTTGAAAAAAAAAACGGTTAATAATGTAGCTAAAATCATCAAAACGCCGAATATAGGGAGTTACCGTTATATCGGGGCTATACGAAGACCTGGATCTGCATAGACAAATTTCATTTCATTTACGAAATTTCAAACAATATCTGTGAATATTGTACTTAAAATCGTCAAAATACCGAATATAGCGAGGTACTGCTTGGGGCCTATACGAAGACCTGGACCTTCATAGACTGTAGTTTCCATTACGAACTCTAAATTTTATGAACGAAATTTTAAACAACTCCAGTTAATAATGTCGCTAAAATCATCAAAATACCAAATATTGGGAGGTACCGTTATATTGTGGATATACGAAGACGTGAGCCTGCATACGCAATGTCATTGGCTGTAGAACCCATTACGAATTCTTAATACGAAATTTCAAACAACTTCGGTGAATAATATTCCTGAAATCGTCAAAATATCGAATATACCGTTGTATGTGGGCTATACGATATCGTGGGCCTCTATAGACATTTCTCTTCCAGGGGGTAAATTGCTTAGAAAGAACTTTTAGTATGGATATTTTGACAGTTCCATTGAAAAATGTGGATCTATATAGGCAATTCTTTTGCAGTGTCTAAAGTGCTCAGAAGGAACTCCTAGTGTGGATTTTAAGCCAATTCCAATGAAAAATGTGGCTAAAATCATCAAAATACCGAATCGGAAACTACCGTTATATGGTACCAGGAGTTGTTTCAAATTTCGTATTTAGAGTTCCTAATGGGTACACTAAAGCCTATGACAGAAAATTGTCTATGCTGGTCCAAGTCTTCAGTATTTTGATGATTTTAGCTACATTATTCACCGGATTTGTTTTTAAGTTTCGTATTTGAATATTGTAATGGCATATGACACAACTTTCATGTGCAGGTCCACGTCTTCGATATAACTGCCATACTTGCTAAATTTTTAGAAAAAGCTTGTAACATTTTTTTTGTTGCCTTCGTATTTGCTTTTTCGAATTAAAAAATAATCGTATTATTAATAGAATTACAATAAAATAAATAGTTGGAATTTCAAATTGAAATGTCTCCACTAACATTTGATATGTTTGGAATTATAATTTGAATTCTCGAATTGCGTTTGAAATGTTTGGAATTAAAATTTGAATTCTCGAATTTTGATTTGAGATGTTGCGAATGACATCCAAAACAGAATGCAATTTTTGACCTTGGTAAAATTTTACAACTTACGTATCAACTGCCTTAACGTTACCGCTCACAAATCTCACCCAGTTCCTGAGATCCATACGTTCGGTAACATCCCGTACAAAAGCATCACAATTGCGATAATTCACCCAGCAGTCTTCGTCATTTTCACAGCTGTCACATCGAAAAGCGTTTTCATATTCGGCCTCCATTACACCGGGACTACAGATCACAGTTATCCGTACATGGGGCAAGCAATTGCAATTATCGGAAATATTTCTATAAAACATAATAATATAAACAAGTTAAAAAGCAGTAAGTTCGGCCGAGCCGTGCCGAACATTAAACACCCTCCACCATTTGGAACAAATTTGGAAATTTAAAAAAAATTAAATCCCTTAAAAATTCTGTTAAAATCTTAAAAATACCGAACATAGCCCTTATATTGGGGTCTTTTCGACGTGGCATTGTTGTAAGCCATTACCATATTCAAATTCGAAACTTGAAATAAACGGTGAATAATGTAGCTAAAATCATCGAAATACCGTATATAGGGAGGTACCGTTATATCGGAGCTATACGAAAACCTAGACCTGCATAGACAATTTTCTGTTACAGGCTGTAGCATCCATTATGAACTTTAAATACGACATCTCAAACAATTTCTGTATGTATTGCACCTATAATCTTCAAAATACCGAATATAGGGAGCTACTGATATATGGGGCCTAAACGAAGACCTGGACCTGCATAGACCATTTTCTGTCACAGACTGTAGTTCCCATTACGAACTCTAAATGCGTAATTTGAAACTACTCCGGTGAATAATGACGCTAAAATCATCAAAATACCGTATATTGGGAGGTACCGTTATAGGGGGGCTATACGAAGACATGGACGTGCACCGACAATTTTCTGTAATAAGCTGTAGTATCCATTACGAACTTCAAATGTCATATTTAAAACAATTACGATGAATAATGTCACTAAAATCATCAAAATATCGAATATCGGGAGGTACCGTTATATGGGGGCTATATAAAAACGAGGATCTACATGACCCATTTATAACTTTACCTGCCTACTGGCAAAATAAACATGTGTGCAAAATGTTGGCCTTCTATCTCAATTCGTTCGAAAGATAGCGTGATTACAACAGACAGACGGACAGACAGGCGAGGAACAGACAGACCGACAGGCAGACAGACAGACGTACATCGCTAAATCGACTTTGAATTTTATGCCGATGAAGAATATATATACTTTGTTGGGTCTTACATGAGTATTTCGAGGAGTTACAAACTGAATGACAAAGTTAATATACCCTCCATAGTATGGTGGAGGGTATAAAAAAATAAAATAATAATAATAAAATAAATGCAAGTAAAAGCTGAAAACTTATCTAAACTTGAATTCCCAAAAAATGTCGGGTCTTGAGTCATATGTCAAACAACTGAACTATTATTTGTGGTCCATTCAGTTGATAAGTGTTGTTAGGACCTTCAAAATTCATACACTCGGGGGATACTGTTATATGGGAGCAATTCCAAAGACATGACTACATTCAACAATTCTTATGGTTCCAGAGAATACATATCATTTTCATTCTATGAACGAAATCCATTTCAGGACATTTGATGTCGATCTAGCCATGCCCGTCTGTCTGCTGTCTGATGGAGTATTCGATTTGATCCACATTTTCGTGCATCGGAATATTTGTAATAAACTTAGGCAGTATCGGTTAACTACCCGACAAACAGAAAGTACAATTTTTAATGAAGAAAATAACTCTTGTAAAATCTACAACCGTGTCCCTGTGCTTCTTATTTTTGCTTACATAAGGTCAAGTGTGAATACGGAAAGGTTATAATTTTTTCAAAAACATAGAAATCCCACATTGAGCTCATAGCACATAACTATTTTAAGATATGACTTAGATAAGCTGCGGAAATCGACAATATTGGTGCACTCATTTGTGTACCTTCAAAATTGTAATCAATAATAACCCTATCACCGAGTAAAATCAATCCTTCAAATTTTACATCCCTATATATTTTGTCAGCTTAACTCTAGTTTAGCAAATTTCTTCCCGAAGTAGGTATTTTTACCCCGATTTCTGAAAAGAATTTTTTCTTGGACAACGAATTTGGGAAGCTGTATATTTGACCCGAAAGTCCACACTTATTTGAAAGTTTATGAAAACAAAACACATTTATTTTTGAATCGATAGTTTGTTATAATCCCCTCCAAAAGTCGAATAAGTGTTGACAAAATAGATGCCACTATTGTTGACACTCTAACTTTTCCATAATGTTCAATATGTGTTACTATCTCTGCTGGATCCAGAGATATTGTCTTTCTACCTCAAGAAAAGAGATCAAAACAATTGAAGAGTTTTTACAAAACTAGAACAAGTGTAAAAAATGATCTATCGGCCCACTCTCCGGAATTTCTGAACGTTCAGCCCAAACGAAACGACTGAAGCTAGAATCTTGACGAAAAGTTCTAAAATTGTACTAAACTTCTAAAATGATACCATTTGGTACCGGAAAGAGCTAAGACCTTAAAAAATTGGTATGAGAATCAAGATTGGAAAGTATGTTTAAAATGAAGGTGGTTTTAGAAATGTGTACTAAATACAATATATAAATATAAATTTGGCTTTGGGTGAAGAGATAGAGCTGGATTCCCGAAATTTGATATTGAGGTCTATTTCGGAATCTGACAGGAAATATGGGGGTGGTTTTGAAAATGTGCAACAAGGGAACTGATGAGGATTGGTGGCCCTTTTCGAAACCTAGGTATTCACTGCCTTACCCCCCTGGTTACCATCGTTCTCCACTAATAAACAAACGTTGTTTTTTTTAAAACAACAATAAAGGGATTAAGCCTGACCATTTTGCAACAACAAGATTTTTATGTTCTCCAAATTTTTGCGGATAATACTTACCTCATTCCATGCCAGCTAAATATCATTAATCGCAAAAACGCTTTACAGATATCGGTAAAACCCAAAATTACGATATTCATGGTATGGCCAAAATATGAGGAATGCGATAAATTATTTTGATATGCTGCAAAGTGATCCTGGGAAAAATCAATTGGATGTATGTCCAGGTCATGCATTGATAATGTTTGATATTTTCCCTGTGAAGTGGATGATTGCGACCGAGAAAGTTCCTCTAATGATTTATCAAACCATAATTTTTTGTTACGGCGCGGTTCCAAGGGTTGCATATTCAATATTAAGTCATTAGATAGGCAGTGATATAACTAGAACAGACCTGGTGTTAGTTTTTACTAAATCGCTTCTGATTCGTTTATATTTACCGTGGGTCGAAAATAGTAAAAATGCCAACAGTTGGATTGACGGGCCAGCTCTCGAAACACAACATCCGATTGAAAATGAAAAATGGGATGCAATTTTAATATCATCACCTCGGCTATGTTGCAGATTGGGTCTTCTTTGAGTTTGGGGACAAGGAAATGCTTTTCCAAATTGGAATTGGAGGTAAAGGGTCTTGAATTGACAGGGAGGACACAAAACATGAATATTTTTTTTAAATTAAACTACATATCCTCACCTCAATATAATAAAACCCACAAGGACATTTTTCTCCTTTGGCTGGGTCGAGTCGCCGCACTTGATGGTAAAACATTGATATTTACTAAATGGATCAGAGAAAATATTTTCCAAAATGGCCGTAACAATTCTTAAATCATATTGCAATTGATCCTCATCATCGGCAATGAGAGAAATATGCGAAGTATCCGTGGCCGAAATGGCGAAAGTAATTTTGGACGCTATGGTTGAACGCCTGGTTTGTTGTGTCCTTCTTGGTATGGCCATAATGGTGGGCACTTCATCATTTAGCAGCCGCTTAATAGCATCAACATCTTCGGGCTCCACGCGGTAGAGTGTGAGATCACCATAAATGGCACTTCGATGTGTTATATACAGATGCTCATCGATTTTACAACCTGGTCGTGGTACGACAGGCTAAAAAATGTTGAGGTTATGTATCTTCAGGTTTGAAACTCTAGTTGTAGAAGTGTGAGTGTGTAACTTACAATAAAATATTTCAACATTTCAAATAAGATCGGTATCATCGGCTGGGCAACAGATATGGACAGTAGACAATAGTTGCGTTCTGGAAATGCAGCAAAACCAGTCAACAGATAACGAAATAGTCTGCGTAAATCATGCGGCTGCATCAAACCAAATAGGTGTATGACAAACACATTTGACTGGCTATTCAAGTCCATGGTTGGGTGCTCATTTTTAATATTGTAGAGAATGTTTTTGCGACGTTTGCGTAGTTTCACATAGAAGTCGTAACTTCTGAGTTCTGGAAAAGCAAATTGTTTTAAAGTTTTCAGAGTGGCATAAAGATCGTCTTGACTGAATGTTGGATGTCTATACCAATTTCACTTGTAAATATTTTATATCCATAACAAGTAAAAAAAAAACATTAGGCCGAATTTTTAATACCCTCCAGCTTGGTTCAAGAATACATTTTTATATAGGAGTATCCGAATTCAAACGAGTTCCACTTACAAATAACAGAAAGACCGTTCAGATAATGATGTTAAATTTTCTAAAAAAAAAAACTATAAAGTGGGTGAGGCTGTTAAATGAAGGCCGTATCAAAACGGAAACCTCCATAGACAATTTTATACATCAATGATTGTCATCTACCAAATCTTCTTAAATACCAAATTTGAAATAATTTCGTCGGTAAATGTGACTAGGGTTATCAAAATACTGAATATCGATGGGTATCGTTATATGTGCGCTATGAAAAACGTGGACCTACATTTTCAATGTTCTGCCTCCAGAGCTAGAACCTATTACGAAATACAAATACCAATTTTTTGGACAAATCCGTGGGAAAAAGTGGCAAAAATCATCAAAATATCAAATTTTGGGAGGTACCAACTATGGGGGCTATACCAAAACGTGGACCTATATATACTATGTTCCGCCACCGGAGCTAGAACACATTATGACTTACAAATGCCAATTTATAGACAAATCCGTATAAAAATGTGGCAAAAATCATCAAAATTCCGAATATCGGAAGGTAGCGATACCGCTATATGGCGGCTACGGCTGGAACCGATATATCTCATTTTCAACACCAACCATACTAGACACAATACAAATTGTTCTGTCAATTTTTGAAGCTCTACGTCAAATAATGCGGACTGTATGGTGATTTCAACAGACGAACAGAGAGATAGGCGTTTCTTTTCAAGGTGGAGGATATAAAAATTAAGTACAATATTTAAATTGTTGTAAAGATCAGATAAAAGTTACTTTTTGTTTATAAAATATAAAACGTATTCGTCTATCAATGGAAATGTTATCATCTATATATTAAAGAGTGGTGAAATAACTGACTTACTAACTGACCGAGGATCAACGCCCAGACAAAGCTGCTGAAGCTGGAATCTCGAAAATTGAAGAAGTACGAAAAGAACTATAATGTACTAAAAATTTAATTTAATTCACATGGGATATTTTTTTTTGGAAATTCGAAGTTAAGGTTACGAAACGTTCTAAAAAGGTACCATTTGGTTTTATGTGAACGGATAGAGCTAAAAACTTGAAATTTGGTATGAGAATCAAGGTTGGAAGGTAAGTTTGATTCATAAATATGGTTTTGGAAATGTGTACTAAGTGTGCGAACTGTATTAAATGGTACTAAATTTGGAACAGTTAGAATTTGGAAATTTTGTTTATATGTGTACTACAAGTGCACGAAAATTACTAAATAGTACTATAATTGGTACAATTTGGTGTTGGGTGAACAGATAGTGCATGAGGTCTGATATTTGACATTAGAGTCGCTGTTCATGTTTAGCCTGGACATATGGAGGTAGAAATGAGTACTTTTATTGTAAGAAAAGTACTAAATGGTACTATATTTAGTATTAGATGAAGGAATGTAGATAAAATTCTTAAATTAGATTTTTAGATTACGGATGGTATCAGTATTTGAAATATGGCGGTGATTTGGAAATGTGTCCCAAATTTGTATAAAAACTACTGAATGGTACCAAATTTCGTATGGGGTTGAGGGATAGTAATAAAATTCTGAAATTTGATATTTAGATTATTGATGATATCTGTGTTTGAGACTTATCGGTGGTTTGGAAATGAACCCTATATGTAAACGAAAAGTACTAAATGGTACGAAATTTGGTATTGAGTGGATAGACAGGAATTGTCACATTTGATATTGAAGTCTATGATGGTATCTGGAATTAAGATATGGAGGTGGTTTTGGAAATGTATGCTATAATTGGTACTCATCTTGGAATAGTTAAGTTTAGGGTGAACGGATGGAGCTGGAATTTCGAAGTTTTGGTATTGAGATCCATGCTGGTGGTAGATTTAAGAATTAAAGATTGTTTCGGTAATGTGCACCACAAGTGCACGAAAAGTACTAAATAGTATTATATTTAGTATTGGGTGTAGGGATGGGTCTGGAATTCTCAAATTTGATATGGTATCTGGAATTGAGGTATGAGGTGGTTTTAGTAATGTATTCTATAATTTTTCGAAAAGCACTAAAGGGAAATCGAGTATTAGGTGAAGGGGTAGAGCTGGAATCCCGAAATGTGATAATAACGTATCTGTTGGTATCTGGGATTGAGATATGGACTTGTTTTTGGAAATGTGTACTTTAATCGTACGAAAAGTATTAAATATTGCTAAATTTGGTATTGAATGAAGGAATAGAGCAGAAATCCAGAAATTTGATTTGAATCTCACTGTTGGTGTCTGTGGTTGGATTTGCGTTCAATATTTGTACTGCATTTGGTAAAAAAAAGGAAATTACAGACCTGAAATCTTGAAATTTCATATTTAGGTCACTGTTGATTTCTATGGTTTACTAATGAGCCGTTAAAAAAATTTTAGACAGAAAAATTAGAAACCAAACAGCGGACACTTGCTAATAAATCATTTATTTTATAGACTCCACCATAAGATAGATTGACATATACTATCCGTTCGAAATTTCCAAAGTTTTCGTCAGAGAGTCCATAAATTGTATATATACTTGATCAGCACAAAAACATAAGTCAGGTTTTTTAGCCCTTCGAAAACGGTACCTTCCGGGTTTCTGTAATTACAACTTCCCGTGTAAAGGAGTCAAGAACGTCAGAATACATGGGATTTGTACTAAAATTATCCTAAAAAGTAAAGATAGGTCAAGGTGAGAACCGAGTTTCACCAACTGGAAAAATTCGGTGGATGTGCAAAAAATCCATCCAATTTAAGCGGATATTTCATAGTTGGTGCACAATAACGGTGAAATCGGATAAAGATGTATATCAAAGGTATATAAAAATCTGAGCCGATCTCGATAAAATTTGGCAACATTATTTTCGAGCTGTATCTGATGTCCGGTATCAAATATCATTGTTGTGAAGTGTTTTTTAGTGTTAAGTGTTTATTATAACTATATTTGGTGCACAATAAACTTAAAATCAGATACAGAAATATATGGGAGCTATATCTAAATCTGAACTGATTTTGACACAATTTAGCAAATGTATTTCTGAGCTGTATTTAGTAACTTTTTTCGAATAGTGTAATGGAGTTCATATTACGGCGGTGAGGGATAAAAATAAAAAATCTGATGAAAAATGTATTGTTTTGAGCTATAGCTTTATCTGAACCGACTTGGTCGCATGTGTCAAGATCCAAACTATTTGGGCTAATATTAACCAATTGGCGCATAATAAAGTTATATATAGAGGGTGTGATAAAAAAACTGCTACCAACTTCAGACTGCTGTCATTTCTAAGTCACCCGTCAAACAGTTGTTAAAATTATTTCAGGGACAGCTCATTATATTGTTTACAAGCGCACAAAAACATTTTGGTGAGAATTTTCCAGAAAAAAGTTATTCGTGGCTGGAAAACCATAAGTGGATATCGTTAGAGGACTCCAGCATTTAAATATGTCTCGTACCACCGCTCGTTACCGTGATACTGGTAGCACAGCCCGACGTCAAGGAAGTGCACGGAAGAAAACAGCAACATCAGCAGAAATGGTTCGAAAATTAAAGAAACGACTTGATCGAAACCCTATTTCCGACATTTTTTTCTTTCATTCAATAAATGTTAAAAACAAAATGTAAAAATTATCGCGTTTGACTTTGTTGCAGTTTTTTTATCTCACCCTGTATGTGGGAGATATATATAAATATTACCGATTATCTCAAATTGCAATGGGGCTCAGACATAGGCAAAGCAAATGATTTGTGCAAAATTTCATCATAATCGAAAAATAAATGTGATCTATACTTTGCTTTAAAAAACAAGTAAAAAATATCAAGTTCGGCCGGGCCGAAAGTTTAATATCCTCTACCTTAGGGCAAAGGAAACATTTTTTTTTTTTTCGATCGGTCCCAACGCCAAACTCACCCGCCCCTGCCGACCGAGGGGGCCAACTCCCAATTACGTAGGGAGCGCGTACACCCCATAGTCCGAACTATGGAGGGTTAGTGCGTTAGGGAAACCAGCTACAGTTATACATCAGCCGGTTGTTTAAATTCACAAATAAAGACAACACACAGGAAATAAAACAACATATAACAGATAAGAGTAGAGAATCTGGCAACTACTTGCTTTAATACTAAAGATGTAAAATAGTGTGTTTAATGACATGCAAAGGGCCTGTCAATGATATCTCGTTATATAATTTGTTGTAGATATCACATAAAGACCTCATAGGATTATAAGATTCATAATTGGATTTAGCCAAGCAAAGTTTAAGTGGTATGTAATTTCGAGTATTACGAGCAGGAATATTAAAATTTAATTCACCGGTTAAAAACTGTGAATCGATTTCGCCACGTAAAAGTTTTATAATAAATAAAGCTCTTAACATTAAACGTCTCTTTTCCAGTGTCGGAAGATCAATTAGTTTTAGGCGATTCTCATATGGTGGAAGTGTATCATTTATATCCCATCCTAATCCTCTGAGAGCAAATAAAAGAAATTGGGTTTGTACTGATTCCAATTTAGCAGAATATGTTTTGTAAAAAGGACTCCACAATACGCAACCGTATTCTAAAGTGGGCCGAACCAAACTAATAAATAAATGCTTAGTCACATAAGGATCGTCAAATTCTTTTGACCATCTTTTTATAAAACCCAGCAATGACTTGGCTTTATTTACACATGAATCAATATGCAAATTAAAACGCAATTTATTGTCTAAAATTACACCAAGATCAACGAATGAGTCTACATTGTCCAATTTGTAAGAACCAATGAGGTAATCACTTTTAAAAGGTTGTGTTTTAAACAAAGACAGTTTTTTACATTTCTTGAGATTTAGCGTCATACCATTAACACTGCACCAATTAACAAGGCAGTAGATATCATGTTGCAAGTTAAGGGAACTAATGTGAGAGTCCATATTACAAAAAAGTTTGACATCATCAGCAAACATTAGGATCTTAGAGTAACGTATAACCGTTGGAAGGTCATTTAGATACAATACAAAAAGTAGAGGACCTAAATGGCTACCCTGGGGGACACCAGAGTACACAGTTATCTGTTTAGAAAGAACATTATTGAAAGAAACTCTCTGTGTACGCCCTTGCAAATAAGATGATATCCATGATAAAAATAATGTTGCGAAACCCATTTTGTCAAGTTTATGTAATAATAATAAGTGATCCACGTTGTCAAAAGCCTTACTGAAATCAGTATATATAATATCAGTTTGGCATTTTATTGAAAACCCCCTGTGTACATAACATATAAGTTCTAATAAATTAGTTACAGTTGACCTACCCTTTACAAATCCATGTTGGTAAGGCGATATTAAAGACGAAACAAAGTGCGTTAGTCTACGCGAGACTAAAAACTCAAACAATTTCGGTATTGCACTTAATTTTGCAATACCCCTATAATTTTCGACGACACTTCTATTATTAGCTTTATGCAAAGGAATAATAAAACTAGATCGCCATACTTGAGGAAAATAACCAGATGTCAAAGAACAATTAAATATAGTGGTTAGAGGTAAATAAAGCTCATATGCGCATGACTTTAAAATGTAAGCAGGTACTCCATCAGGGCCAGGGGAATTACTACTTTTTAACGATAGAAGACCATTTAAAACCTCCTCCTCAGACAGAATAATTTGGGGGAAATAATTTAATCTACTAATATTATAAGCATAATTGTCATTATGATTGGATGAAGGCTTAGAGTAAGTATTTTGAAAAAAGTCAGCAAACAAATTTGCTATTTCAAGGTGGTCCCCTGATTCCCTGCAACCAAGTTTCATACTATTAGGAAATTCGCGGACTTTACGTTTCGAATTTACAAATTTATAAAAGCTTTTAGGACTCTTCTGAAAGTTATTTTTCATTTTTCTTAAATAAATCGAATAAGACTTTAAATTTTCAATGTTATATTTACTTCGAGCTTGTGAATATTTTGTATAATTTAAAGTGGTATTACATTCTTTAAATTTTTTAAATAACCTACTTTTTATGTTGCGCAAGCGCCTAAGATGTGGGGTAAACCAAACTGGTCCTGAGTCAGGATAGAACTTCAATAATGGAACTGATATAGTTAACGTATTTTTAAGTACGATATAAAAATTTGAAATTTGCAATTCAATGTCACCTTCATGAGACCAACTTGAATTGGACAATATAGAACGAAGGAGATTAATATTAGTCTTAGAAAAATTTAATTTGTGAGGCTTAGTTTGTGGTTTTGCATAATTTGTTTGAATATTAAGTTCAAGGTCTATGACAAGTGTTGGGTGATATTTATCTTCCGGTTCTACAAAAGGTGAACATTTACTTAATGAAGTATTAACGGATGAAGAAAACACTAAGTCTAATATTTTACCTTTAAAATTATAAATATTATTGAGTTGATATAGACCTTGGTCAAAAATATTTTGCCAAAAATTTTCCATATCGTTAGACCGTACTGTTGACATAATGTGGTGGTACATAATGTGCCGTGTCATCATCAACCCATTATGACCCACAAATACCAATTTTAAGACATATTCATTGGAAAATGTGCCAAAAATCATCAAAATACCGAATATCGGGAGGTACCGTTATATGGGAGTTATACCAAATCGTGGACATATACATGCAATGTTTCACCACACGAACAAGAACCCATTATGACCTAAAAATACCAATATAAGGAGGTACCGTTATATGGCGGCTATACCAAATCGTGGACCCAAATCTGTGAAAACATGTGGCAAAAATAATCAAAATACCGAATATCGGGAAGTACCGTTATATGGGGGCTATACCAAAGCGTGGACCTATTCATACATTGTTTCGCCTCACGAACTAGGACCCATTATCACCTACAAATACCAATTTTGAGACAAATCTGTGAAAATATGTGGCAAAAATCGTCAAAATACCGTATATCGGGAGGTACCGTTATATGGGGACCAAAACGTGGACCGATATATCTCATTTTCAATACCAACCATCCTAGACACAATACAAATTGTTTTTCTAAATTTTTACGCTCTACGTCAAATAATGTGGGCTGTATCACGATTTCAACAGACATATGGACATCGTTAAGTCGACTTAGAATTTAATGCTGATTATGAATATATATACTTTATGGGGTCTACGACGAATATTTAGAGATGTTATAAATATACCCTCCTTTGCAAGGGGGAGGGTATGAAAAATACAGAACCCGTCATGTGTTCAGAGAGATTTTTTTTAAATATTTCGTTTCATACCTTCCGCGAATTTCTCCAGTTTCTCGAAGCATTTCATTGGCCCTCCATAAAACTCATTCGTTTCATCTGTTGAACTGCTGTAATAACAAAATTACATTTTTATTTGAAGATTCCTTGAATAGACTCTAGTTTGTCTTACCATTGAGAGTTAATTTCATCTGTTTCGTTATTGGAAATTTTCTCATCCAAATTTTTAAATACTTCATCGATTTCTTTGTGAATAAAAAGTTTATTTATTGGATGTCGGCGTATCGAGCTATAGTTTGGTTTAAAACATTATTATTGAAATTAAAATAAATTGCGGAGTATGTCTTACTTTACAATGATTTGTTTTTCTCTGAATATTTCTTGGGAATTGAATTTTAGCAAATTACCAAACGCATCAAGTTCATAGTTTTCCAGCAGAGGCAAAATATCCACATGACCATTTAACCAAATAAAACCGGCAGTCATATGGGAAATCTATAGGATAAAAAAAAAAGAAATTTTGCGATATGATATCCTTTGATATTGCGAGCTTAGGCAGATGATGGATATCAAATACACTTTCCATAGAGGACATATTTTCATAAAATGCATAAAATGCTAGATATAACAGACATGTTGATGAACTTTCGACTTGCTATCGATTGACCATCGACGCGCTATTGACTATCTGTGAACGTGCTATTAAAAATATACAGGCGATGAGATAACGACGACCTATCGGTCAGGCATTGAAGAAAATTTCCACGTTCTATCCACAAACTATCAACGAACAATGAACAAGATTTTTATAAAGTATCGAATCGAATCGAAAAGTGTTTTTTTTTTTTTTTTGTGAGATACTAGCAAGTGATCGATACTTCATCACCTTAAAATTTTGGATTCGTTCCAACAGTTCGTGTTAGGCCTTTTTAGTACTCAAAATGCACAATTTGTTTGCTTTGAAAACATTTTTTTAATCAAAACTTCATACATCATATTAAATTTTCAGACTTTTAAGGTGTTACATATTATTCCAGTATTTTCTTTTGAAGTTTTCCGAGGAGGATATTAGTAAAACCGTGGCACAATGGGCCCAAGTCCACTTTTGTGCACAAAACTATTTCAACGTCCTCACATGTAAACCCTAGAAACCAATAGTGACTAATATCAAATTTCGGGATTCTAGCTTTATACCTTTACCCAATAACAAATTTAGAAACATTTAGTAGGCGTATCCAAAACAATCTATATCTCCCCATCCTAGACACCAACAGTAATCTAAAATTAGTACCATTTAGTAATTTTCGAACAATCAAGAGCAATCTAAGCATAAAATTTCACAGTATCAGCTCTATCCCCACACCCAATACCAAATTTGCAAGACCCCAACAGATCTTTACACCAGATACCAACAGAGACTTCAATATCAAATTTTGGGATTCAAACTCTATACATACACTTAATACCAAATTTGGCAATATCTCATTCCAGATACCAATAGAAATCTCAATATAATATTTGAGGATTCCTGCCCTATCCCTTCACCCAATAATAAGTTTAATACCACATATTACTTTTCGTAAAATTATGGTACACATTTCCAAAACCACCGCCAATTCTCAAACAAAGATACTACGGTAATCTAAGTATCAAATTTCAGAATTTTGTCTCATCCCTTCACCAAATACCAAATACAGTACCATACCATAATTTTCGTGCAATTATAGTACACATTTCCAAAATAACTTCCATATATATGAACAGGCTAACTATGAACAGCGACCGCAATACTAAATTTTAGATTTCAAGCACCATCTGTTCACCCAATACTAAATTGTACAAAATATAGTACTATTTAGTACTTTCCGTGCAGTTTTAGACTCTTTAACACAAACCTGCCACCAACAGGGACCCAAGACAAAATTTCAAAATTCTAGATTCACCATAAACCAAACTGTACCAAATTTAGTACAGTTTGCACACTTAGTACACATTTCCAAAACCACTTTCAAATATCAAATTTAATCTTTATTTTCATACTACATTTCAAGCTTTTTATACCCTCCACCATAGTATGGAGGGTATATTAAGTTTGTCATTCCGTTTGTAACACCTCGAAATATACATTTTAGACCCCACAAAGTATATAGCAATGTCTGTCCGTATGTATGTCTATCCGTCTGTCCGGAATTGTTTCAAATTTGGAATTTCAAGTTCGTAATGGATACTACATCCTAAGACAGAAAATGAGCCATGTAGGTCCACGTATTCGTATAGCCCCCATACAACGGTACCTCCTGATATTCGGTATTTTGATGATTTCAGCAACATTATTCACCGGTACTATATAAAATTTGGTATTTGAAGTTCGTAAAGAATACTCTAGCCTATGACAGAAAATTGTCTGTGCAGATCCACGTCTTCGTATAGCTCCCGTATAAGGGTACCTCCCAATATTCGGTATTTGGTGATTTCAGCAACATTATTCACCGGAATCATTTCAAACTTCGTTTTGGGAGATCTTAATGGGTACTACAACCTAACACAAAAAAATTCGTATGCAGGTCTACGTTTTCGTATATGGGGGCTATATGAAAACGGTACTCGGTATTTTCATGATTTTTGCGACATTGTTCACCAGAATTGTAAAAAAATCGTATTTAAAGTTCATAATGGGTACTACAGCTTACGGCAAAAAATTTCGTATGCAGGTCCACGTCTTCGTATAGCACCCATATGTCGGTACTTCCCGATATTCGATTTTTTAATTATTTTAGCGACATTATTCACTGGAGCTGTTTTAAATATCATATTTGAAGTTCGTGATGGATACTCCAGCATATTACAAAAAATTTCGTAAGCAGGTTCTCGCCTTCGGGTTTCAATTAAGTGGTAGTTTTTGGATTTTTTTTTTTGAAAAATTTCAAGTTCCTTCCAAATGGTGGAGGGTATTAAAAGTTCGGCCCGGTGAAATTAGTTTCTTTTTACTTGTTTTTGTTGTAGTAATCTAGGTTTCTGACCCACGTCGAGTGGTAACAGTTGTACTTCGGTTAATGAGCAACATTATCTGGGTCCGTTTATCTTATCTATCCTTAGAATCTCTGTAACCGTGATTAGAACCTTTCTTGATTATTTATAATGGTATTTAGCAGGAGAATCCTTGCATATCCTTTCAGATTATTGCTCGAGTAAAATCCATTGCTTACCTATCGATGCCCTTTACCAGTGAAGCACACATAATTTAGCCAAACCTCCAGGTAAAGTATCAATGACTTCCGTTCAAAGAAGATCAGCAAGGACAATATGACTATCATCAGCAATTGGTAACCGTTCCGACATCTAATTAATATAAAGGACGTTTGAAAAGTCTTCCCGCTAGAACTTTTGTCTAAGGCCCATGACCCTTGACTGAATTATATTTTACCCTGAGTCCCACTATGTTTGTTCATCTAATGTGCTAAGAAGTTAGTGACAGTTCTTTATTTGATTCTGTGACAGAGGCCTATAAGCACCACCGACCAAACTGTACCAAATCCGTGTTGTTAAATATGTTAATACTTACTTCAGTTATTACAATTACACTATTGGAAGATTCAGATAGCAGCTCTTCGGCTATATAATATTCACCCAATTGTTGCTTGACATCGGGACGATTACGATCCACCAATTCAACAATGTCATCATTATCTTCAGGCCTAAAAATACAAGTTTTCAACAAATAATTGATCATAGAAATCCATTTTCCGTACAAAGCTCTGCGATAACGCATTTTGGGTATGACATCGTCACGACGTATCACATGAATTTGCTCGGTATTTGGGCAGGTAATGGCACTGAAACATTTCGGATAGTAGACCGTGGAAAATTGTTCCAGACAATAGTAATCAGGACGATCTAAAAAAAATATCTGTTTCTTTCAAATTTTCAATATTCCGAAAATTGAATAGAAACCTTTCGGATACTTGACACCATATTCGGGACACTGCACGGCAATAATATAACGAATTTTATTTTCACGTTGAAATATTTCACACAAGACATGTTGCAGCAGCTGCGGATTGTAGTCCCTGTGGTAAATGAAGGTGTTGAAGAAGAACGTATTTCCCTGACTCAGCGGCAGTGGCGAACAATAGTGATGTTTCAGCCAATTTTCCCAGCAATCTTCGGGCAAGGCGGGTACATGGGGCGTGTTGCTAACTTCGGCATAACCAATAATAGTACGTTTCGTTTCTTGCACTTCGACCAGGAAACGATGTGTAACATAACTTTTAAAGAATTCCTCAGCAGAACGTATTTTCCGTTTAGATGCCCCGAAATAACGAACTCGCCCCAAGTTGAGAAGCGCCACTATTCTTTGAAAATCATCAGCAATAGCTTCAATTATATAGAAAGTCTCAACCATGTGTGGTTTTCAGATACATGAAATTATTGAAATTATTTTTATTGGAAAAACAAAAACTAAGCTTTCAAAATATTTTGATTTTACTTTTTAGTAATACTAATGTCAAATTCGATATGACGTTTTATTATTTAATTCCATTCTTTGACATACAATAGGTAAACACTTTTTATACCCTCAACCATAGAATTCCGTTTGTAACACCACTAAATATACATTTTAGATCCCACAAAGTATATATATTCTTGATCAGCATAAAATTCTATATCGATTTAGCGATGCCCGTCTGTGAAAATCACTCTAGCTTCCGTACGACTTGAAATAAGTTGATAAAATTTTACACAATAGTATATTAAGTCCGCAGGACTTTTGGTATTGAAAATGGACCATGTAGGTCCAAGTCGTCGTATAGCTCTTATATAACGGTACCTCCCGTTATTCGATGTTTTGATGTTCTTAGCGACATTATTTACCGGAAGTGTTTCAAATTTGGTATTTAAAGTTCGTCATGGATATTACAGTCTATGACAGAAAATTGTCTGTGCAGTTCCACGTCTTCGTTAGCCCCTCATATAATAGTACCTCCCGATATTCGGTATTTTTATGATTTTAGCGACATTATTCACCCGAATTATTTCAAATTTGGTATTTGAAGTTCGTAATGGATACTACGGCCTATGACAGAAAATGGCTGGTCCACGCTTTGGTATAATCCCCATATAATAGTACCTCCCTATATTCAGTATTTTGTGATTTTCGTTACATTTTTCACTATTTTATGATTTCAATCATTATCTGTTAACTAAATGATAAATTGTACCAAATATAGTACTATTTAGAACGTTTCGTACACTTCCATAATCACCTTTTTATCACAAACCTACCACCAACAGGAAACCCAACTATTCTAAATTTAGTACCATTGAGTACATTTCGCTACGCACTTAGTACTTCTTAACATGATTCTCATACCAACTTTTAGTTCTAGTTTTTAGCTCTATACGTTCACATAATAGAGGTTTAGCACTATTTTAGAACTTTTTGTAACCTTAAAATTTGAACTTCCAAAAGTCTTTGGTGCATAGGTCCTGCACTTCACCTGTGACTCTCATTCCAAATGTTAGAATTCTAGTTAATTCCGTTTGTCCAATACAACATCTTGAATTTTTACATTTTGGTTCTTTTTGTACCCTTCTAGTACGAAATTTCAAAAACCCAGCCTTTACCAATACTATCCCTCGTGCAAATTTTCAAGATTCTAGCTTCCGCAATTTCATCTAGACGTTCATTTTAGGTAGTCAGTCAGTTATTTCACTACTCTTTTATTTATATAGATAAGCTAGCTGAACCTGCGCGCTTTGCTACTCCTTTCGCTTTTATATGCATTCAAAATTTTATATATGAATATTTGTTTGTTAAGAAAAAAAAAAAAAGAAATAAAACAAATTCAAAAATTGAAAAAACGTAAGTATTGTAATATTTTAATGCGTAAACAAACAAATAGCTCGGTCTACCAACGCGTGAACATGCCAGGAACAGCTGACCATGAGAAAATGTCAAGCATGCAGGTAACTGCAATCTTTTGAAGTTGAGTGGTATTTCTGTTGCAATTGAAGAATTCGAGGTAGCAACATACTTCCTAATAATCCTAATAATCGTATCCTCAATTAAATTTTTGTGTAATTTAATACTTTTATCCTAATACCATTGCAAAGGGGTTGTGAGGCAATGCTTCTTAATAAAATCATATGCCAATTTTGAACGATTCAATATAATTTGACAAAATTTACTTTTACACCAAATTCCGTCACACCTTCCACATTTCATTGAAATTGGAGGTACATACCGTGTTTAGTGCATCAAATATATGTAATCGGCCAAGAATATATATGGGAGCTATATCCCAATCCTAGCCGATTTCAAAGTAATTTGTCCATTCCGCCATACACTTTGAATTTCTTTGGAATCTGACATATATATCGAGTTTTTTTTTTACCGATTTCAATAAAACATTTTCTCTGGTTTTTCGACCTTTTTCGATAGTTAATAAAAACAATTATTTGAGCTTGACCTCAAGCTCAAATAATTGTTTTTATTAGATTTCAATAAAATTTGCCAAACAAATTTTTTAGACAAATTCCATCACACATTCCAAATTTAATTTAAATGTGGCGTATACAGCGTATGTAATGCATCAAATACATGAAATCGGCCGAAAATATATATGGGAGCTGTATCCAAATCTGAACCGATTTCAGTATAATTTGGCAAACATATTTTCTGATCGAATCCCGTTATTCATTTCAAATTTAGAGACTGTATTTGTAATCGATCAATAGATATGTGCATATAAAATCTAAATTTTTGATAGGTACCTCCGATTCTGATGCTATGTCTCCAGTTCCAAGTAGTAAACAAACAAACAAGTTCGTCTTTTGTACATGTAGATTAGGGCTAGGCAGAGAGCCTTAAAATTTGTTTTTGATTGTATGTGTTTTGAAATAACAAAATATTGCAAGTGTTTTTTGTCTCTCTTTACACAGTGAGAAATAATTTTTAAGTATTCTAAACAGTTTTGTTGGTAAAAACTAATATTTCGATCAGACAATTCGGAGATATATTTGCACAATTATTTCAATTATTATTCATTTAAAAATAAAACAAAAAGCTGCAAGTTCGGCCTTTGAATGCCTTCCAACGATTGGAACGAATTTGGCAATTTTAAAATAAATAAAATCCGTTAAAATTTTTGTTAAAATCTTTAAAATACCGAATGTAGCCGTTATATTAGGATCTATACGACGACGTTGACCTGCATAAGCAATTTTTGTCATAAGTCATTACAATATTCAAATGCGAAACAAAAAAATCGGTGAATAATGTAGCTTTTTTGATTGAATTCTATTTGACAAAATCTGCATACAAATGCATATGTTAGGAATAGAAATTCTTTTCATATTGTTAGACAAATTTATTGTCCTTTCAAATTAATGGACATTTTCATATTCCTTGATTTAACTGAAATGATATGTACCTTCTTAGTCAATATTAGGAAAAATAATATGATGTGATGTTTGTTATTCTGGTTATAATTCATAGTAATAATATTTTACGACCCAACGCAGGATATGAGTTTTTGATAAGTATACAATTCTACGACTATTGCCTGTGGTAATCGGTATTAGTTTTTAAAGGATCAACTTAGATGGTTTGGATGTTAAAATTATTGAACACAAAAATTATTAAACACAAATAACATCATAATTATATAAAATTTCTGAAAATGTCAACTTATATATTTTTTATTTTAAAATGAATCATAATTGAAATAACTGTGCAAATATGATTATATGTTGAGCATGTGCATCTGTCAAGAAAACCCCCTGATACCTTCAACTAGTTTCGAATTAACAGTTTTCTAAGTGGTTTGAATTCCATTATTATTATCCTCTATTATTAATATCAAAGTTGAACACTGCACTTAAATTATTGACCCAGATTTTTGAAAATGTTTTTATTTATTAATTCATTAACTTGTAAACGAGTTTGCTAACTTCCATTTCCGCCGATTCGTTTCAATCAAATAAATATGGGACTTAGTTTTCACCGGAAATGCATCGCTTATTTGCAATTGTTGATGCATTATCATTTTATGAGTAGCAATGTATATTTGGTGTGTTTTTTATTGACACTAAACTATATTTATTCGCTACTAAGGTGGTATTTTTTTTTCCGGTTTTTTCTTTCCATCCGTATGTCTGTTACGTCACGATAACGCTCGCAATTATGGTGGTGGGATTAGGGTCAGAATAGAAGCCTACTGCTTTTGGAGATGATCGCAAAATATTTAGGGGTTGAAATGAACCAAAATTAGGAAAAAATCCTGATTGTGCAGTTGCTCTACAGGTCACAATTATAGACCAATCGACGGATTGGGGTTAGAGTTTAGGACTGGGAAGAAACGTATAAATTTGTACGGTCATTGAATAATATTTAACGGGGGAAATATATCATAACATTATATACAGGGTGAGATAAATAAACAGCAACAATTTTATTGAATGAAAGCAAACAACTAAAAAAGCAGCTAAGTTCGGCCGGGCTGAAATTTTAATACCCTCTACCATTTGGAAGGAACTTAAAAAATTTCAAAAAACTTCCGGAAACTACAACTTAAATGAAAACTTTTATATGGAGAATGTACGAAGACGTGGACCTGCTTACGAAATTTTTTGTCATAGGCTGTAGTACCCATTACGAACTTCAAATACGGAATTTGAAATAATTCCGGTATATAATGTCGCTGATATCATGAAAATGCCGAATATCGGGAGGTACCGTTATATGGGAGCTATACGAAAACGTGGACCTGCATACAAATGTTTTTGTCATCCATTACGAACTTTAAATATTAAGATTTGTTCGAATTGGTCATATTTGTCACGAATTATGGCCTTTAGCCGGCCAATGAAACGGTCACACTCTGCCCGAATGTTGATCTGCGGTATTTTGGCCCATTCCCGGCGAAGCGCTTGCTTGATGTGATCGAACCTTTGGTATTTTTTAGTGCCAACCTTGCTCCTTGTGCGTTGGTGGCCATTGTGCGTGAGGAACCTCATTTTGTAACCATTCTAGGGTGGCGCGTGCTGAGTGCGATGGTGCTGAGTCCTGTTGGAATGTCCAAGTTCTGCGGCCAAAATGTTGACGTCGGGCTACGCGATGGTAGGAGACACAAAAAATTTATTCACATTTAAATGCTGGAGTGCTCTTACGATAGCCACTTGTGGTTTTCCAGCCAAAATATAAAGAAATCACACTATCGCCCTTGAATTCCTTCACGAATATTTTTTTCTGGAAAATTCTCACCAAAATGCTCTCACCCTGTATACAAAGACGTGGACCTGCATAAGTTGGTTTTGCCATAGGCAATAGCAACATTCAAATTCGAAACATGAAAAAATTCTATGAATAATGTACCAAAAACGCAAAATACTGAATATCTGGAGGTACCGTTTTGTTTGGGAGCTATATGAGAACGTGGGTCGGCATAGACAACTTTCTTTCACAGACTGAAG